TTGGGTAGCCAGACCACTACACCCTACATCCCCAGACCATTGATGAACAGAACTGAGGCGGGCGTAACCACTGTACAAGCACGTGGTTTTTAAGCCTGATGATGACAGTGAAGGCTTGGTTATGGGTTCTGATGAGCCGCAAGGTCCAGGTCCACAGCTAACTCCGACTTCCGAGCGAACCTTAATAATCACTGTGGCACGACTGATCGCCTCAAGTCCACTGTTTATGACGCATGTGGTGAAAACATGAGACCAACCAGAAAGCTGAACTAAAGTTCGGTGGGAATAAATTCAGTGATGTTGGCTAATTCACCAACTACACGGGTTTCAGTCTCCTAGGGCTGACAGGAACTGCTGAGTTTGCACTTTTAAGCAACCACTCAACACAGTCAGTGAGGAAACAACTGCTGAATGGAAGGATACGTCCACTCAAACATCATATACTGAAAATTTTGTGGTCGGCCAAACATGGAGACAGTCAGAGCATACCCGACACAGTCCAATGGTGGGGAAATGTTTTGCTCTTATCCAGGAGCTCAAGAGCCACCACGTGATTGACAGAATATACTCGTTTGATTATTTCGTGGACGTTGTCTACAGTAGACGTCGGGTCGATTATTGACCACCACATGCGTGAAGAAAGGATTCAGTTGCCGTCGTTATGCGAATCAGTATTATGCAGTGGCACGATAAAAATTCCAGAGATCTGCAGTCAACATTTCAAATCCTAACTATGGTGGGGCGGCAATATTGCCAATAAGGTTGTTTCCTGAGGCCAGTCGATTAAAACTTGCCGGAAATCACGTAGACTGGATACATAGGTCGCGAACGGCCTATGGCCCGAAGGACACGCCTGATTGGTCAGAATATGGGCCAATCGTTAACAAACGTTTAAGTCTCGATGCTTCCGGTCCCATCATGAAAATTCTAGGTTGACTTCGGGAAGAATTCTGTGGTAACTGTAAGGAATTCGGTTCTTGAGATATTGTTTCATCTCCCTCTAAAGCTGTCTAAACGAAGATTTCGACACACGGTGGTGGGCGGGACGGCAATCGAAGCATCAACAATGAAGCCGTGAAATGTAGTGTGGTGGTTTCCAGTTCATCGCCTAGACCCTCACTGCCGATCGTGAATCTTGATGAGTAACAAGAGGTGGTTAGTTAAATTGTTGTTGAAGGCCCCTGGCCGAAAGCTTGGGGATTCGTCTTGTTTCAAGTTTCTCGTACGATTTGCATCGTCGATGGTCACGCTCAACAATGTCACTTATGGAGCTGCGAAGCAAGCAATTTGGATAAATCCTCAACTTGAAGAGTCAGAAGAATCAGCACTCGCACTCCGGACCTTGGGCTTCCTTAGCACGGAAGGGCTTTTGGACCTTCCAGACACACTTGTACCCTAGCTTCTGCAACCAGGTTCAGTTGTGCTGTATTCTCAATCGGAGGGAATAATTCCCCATAGGGGGTTGTGTACGAGATCAAGCAGTTGAATACAGTGCATTGAGTTGTTGCTAAAACACACCGCCCAACTTTTACAGGGTCATCAGAAGAAACTTCAAGCTAAAGGGAACTTCATGAAGAGGTTCATCCGAAAAGAACTTCGGTAGACTTGCAAATCAATGTCAGTAAGTGGTCATTCTCCGTTTTCTGGATCGCCAGTGAGTAGCATGGTTTGCGCCTGTTTATAATGAAAGTGATTTGATTACCTGTTGATTAGAGAGTAGAAGTTTGACTAATGGTTGTCTCGGCCATGGTCACAAATTTCGAGATTTTGCCGGCAATTTTAATTGCTTGCGATTTCATGTCTACCAGTTTTCCAGTGCCTGCTCCGACGAGAAGCGGGTGGTCCTGGTAGAGAAATCCGAAAATCTCGGATACCAGACGAGTTCCAGTGCCGCTCATCCAGCAACCACATTTTTGTTCGAATTTGCTGACGGGTGAACCCAAACCAAGAACGAGAGCTTCACATCGGATGCCATATTCTTCGGCTTCTTGAAAGTGTTCGAACGAGTCCAAAAACTCAATTTTTACAGGATTCGAGGGAAAATTCTACATTGAACTGAGGCGCTCTTATCATACAGTATATTTTGAGCGATAGTAGGCATGATCTACTCCTCTCCAGCTTTGGTTGCCACTGAAGTTTCTCAAGGCTCCGTTTTGGGACCGCTGCTGTTTCTGGTACACGTCAACGAACTTCCAGCTGCTCTTGCTAGCCCATCTCTAGTTTTTCATTGATCTGAAATGCTGTAGTTCCGATGCCAGTGCCCTATAAACGGGTGTGGACGCTGCAAAGCAGTGATCGTCGGAGTGACAAAAAGTGCGTCTATATGTCATTTGGAGAAGGGGTGACCCGGTGAACGTTTTTGTCGTGCATGGTGAAAATGAACCAAATGGCCTCACGAAGATGGGTACCAAGAATGATTTGTGTATTTGGCTCTCTTCAAACGTGCTCTTTTCACTAAACCATGAGAAATCGGCCGACAAGGCATTCGCCGTTCTACGGATAATTTCGCGCCCCCTCTCCCGTATCTCTTACATGGACTTCCAGAACTCCTACGGGGCTCATGACAGACCGCTTCTGGAACATGCCAACCAATTCGCCTGCTCAGGACGCACGAAGAATGTGGCGCTCATTCATCGCGTCCAACTAGTTGCTATGAAAATGGTGACTTGCATCAAATACGTTTCGCGTTGCCTGACCTCTTTCTCCTGGAGTATCTTCGTCTCGAGGAGACCTAATACGTATTCATGCCCTGTTTGAACAGAGTTTGGCCAACAGATTCTTCATTTAGTTCATCCAACGGCAGGGACATGATGAAAACATTTTCCAGCTCGGAGAGCATCCTTCTTCCAGGCGACTTTTTCTCATTTCGGATAGGTGCTGCGCGGACCAACCTTGCTCCGTCGGCTGTCCACGCTGCGTCTAGTGTCCAGTTCAAAGCACTATTAAGAAGTTTAATGCAGCTCCTTGAGCTACACCATTTTTCGCTTGTTACTTTCAAGTGAACGGCAGCCACTGAACAACAAGAACAAAACCGACCCGAGAAACTGGACCGAAGTCCCGATCCTGTTTGTCAATCCGTGACCCCATGTTCACATCTTGTATGGTGCATAACCTAGTGTCCCTAAATAACTCAAACTTATTCCTCTGAGCGCAACGGCTTTTTTCTGTAAATTAATCCCTGTATAAGACTTGTATTCACTGCGTCATTGTCTAGTTTTCCGCTTCCACCGATCGTGATATTGCTTGCTTCAATATTTTTCTTGATTACTTGTGTTCTCTAGCCAATGTTTTCAGAAGCGGATGTCAATGCAGGGACCACCTTCCTTATTTATCTATGCCCACAAGCTAATAAATACTAAATGCGTGGAATCCGGTAACTCAGATTTTCCTCTTTGCTCCATAGCCTGCAGAAAAGAGCTTACCAAAAATGTGCTCCCGTATCCAAACCCATGCGGCAGCCAAACCCTTCACACTTATTCCCCTTGACCAGATAAACTGAAAC